AATTAATTCTAATTTCCTTAATTAAGGAAATTAGAATTAATTGGTAAATCCCTTAAATTAAGGAAATTAGAATAAATTTGTAATCCCTTAAATTAAGGGAAATAGTTAAATTGTTTCCTAGTTTTTCTCCTTTTAATCTCCTATATAATACCTTGTATGATCAATTCAAGAGAAGAAGAGAAGTACAAATTATTTCTTTGATTTCCCACACATTGTAATGCTAATAGTTTCAATATTTATTAGCATAATCTCAGAACAAGTAAATATAAATCTGATAGGAACTAGAGGAGTTTTTTTTTCTTCCAAAATTAGGGCAATCAACTATTTTATTTCAAAAACACCAAACATTACAACTCAAATACATAGATGATAGACAACTACAATTTAAGAGATAGAAGATATTTCTCAAATTTTAATTTTAGAACTCAAGACAACAATCTCATAACTTCCTTAATCCTAAGCATGATAAACCCTATTTATACCAAATAATTATAACTAATAAATAACTAAATTGCCCTCAGATGCTAGTCTAACATTACTCTCCTCCTAAAAAGACACTTTGTCATTAAGGTGGAAAAGAAAAGAAAAATGTTGCTGGATTAAGTCATGTTACTCTCACTCATAAACTGACTTGATTCTAGCTCTTCTCATCAACATTTGATTGAAAGAAGTGATGATTCATTGACATTGCATGAGACCACTCCTAATTCATAGCTTGAAACATCCATCTTTACAATGAAAAGTTGGCTGAAATCTGGTAATGCTAACATTGGTACACTCGTCAGGACCTTTAACTTTTCAAAAGTTTGGGCCGTCTCTTTCTCTTACTGGAATTTATCCTTTTTCAGTTTCTTCGTCAATAGCCGCACAATTGAATTACAACCTTTAACGAACTTCCAGTAGTATCCTATAAGTCCCAGAAATCTTCTCAACCCTTAGTTGTTCTTAAGTATTGGCTACTCCAACATAATCGCCACCTTCGATGAATCGGCCGGCATCAAGATTTTTGCACAAACTAGTACGAAAGCACTACCATTTTATCTCTCTTGAAATTCTATGTTCAAGAATTTTCAATTCATCGTAGTCTCCCCCAAGGATTGTAATTATATCATACTTAATATCATGAGTGCTCCCTAAATCCAAGGAAAAAAAGTCCTCCATCACTTGAATACTTTGCAGTGCTAAAATCAGTCATTTACAAACTCCCATACTCTTCTCTGACTGTCCCTTTCTCATCATAACTCTAAAACTTCCCGAGTTCAATCATCTCAAGCTCTAATTGCTTCATCACTTAAGTAGAGATAAAGTCCGCACTATATACCAATAAAACTGCGTCTCTCTCTCCGATTTGTCCCCAAAGTTTCATAGTGTGTTTCAGTGTTAAACCCCCCGCTAAGTTAAATGCGACTTCTGCCACATCCAAGTGAGAGTGTTCCTCCTCTATAGCAACCTACTCTATTTCTGCATCCCCTATTTTTCTGTCAAACACTGTGAGAACCTGTAATATCTGATCCCTTGTAACGGTATCTTGCGACTCTCATCACACCGAAAACATAACCCATTGGCTCACTTCTTCTGAATCCGTGCCTCTGTAAGACGTTTGAGTGCCGCCCCCGGTCATGACCCATTATTCCTGTATCGTGTAGCCTCCTATGCACTTAGGTTGTTTGAGCTTTTGCCATTGTCGTTGTTGTAGTAGTTAGATATGATGCTTCCTCTGTGTTGCTCCTATTAGCCCATTACATTGCATTTTTATTAACTAGCTGCGCTAATTCCATGGTTATCTCAATTCTCGCTATCTCAACACATGAAGTGCTTCTCAAATCTCTGGCTTCAACCTTTTCATGAAGTTTTCTTCCAACACTGCTTCCGATATTCTTCTCAAAGGGCAGATAACATCTCATATTTCCCTATATAATTCATGACGGTTAATTCCTGATCAATGCAAAAGACTGCTCATGTAAATCTTCTTCTCGTGTGGTTTTGAAACTCTTCAATAATCAGTCCTCCTTGAATTCTTTTCATTTTCTGATTATCAGACGTCGTTTTCTTCATTGATACCATGCTAGAGCCTTTCTTTCTAAATACAGGGCCGCCGCCATCAATTATTCTTCTTTTGTTTGCTGGTTAACAACGAAGTGTCTTTCCATGTGATAAACCCAACCATAGGCATCATCTCCTTCAAAGATTGACATCTTCGGCTTCTTTATGCGTGATCTCCTCCCCAATTTTCTTGACTGAAGTTTATTCCACCCATAAAGCGGGGGTTGGGTTCCCTTCCTCAACCCATATTGAATTCCCCTATTACCTAGGTTTCACCACTCCATAATCAACTCGCCCGTTCCCTTACGCTCTTGAAAGGCCTTTGGCTTTAAAGACTGCCACAACATAAGGCTTTGACGCGGTTGGTTGCAACCCTCTACTTATATCCTATTCACCGCGGTTCCCTATTCCAGCCTGAAATCTTTTGAATTGTTCTTCTCTCACTTCGAACCGCACGTCGTCCTATTCCGCCTACTGCCTCTCTTTCCAACTATCTGTATGTCGTGCTATTCTTTCTAAGTGCTCCTACTCGAGTCCGCTCTCTGTTTCTTCACTCAATCCCGTGGCTCGAGATTTATGTAAGATAGTGACGCTGCCCTAATGTCATGTGAAATCTTCTGTTTATTGTCGCTTGCGTCGGTGTTGGCTCAAAATGTCGTTGCTCGATTCCCATGCGAGCGGCGACAGGTTTGCGTGGAACTCTATGATCTTTTTTATCATTCCTTTCAGGGCTCTGAATCTTCCCTTCATAGATAAGAAACTCTCATTCATTTGAGATCTGATTTAACTCTCAGCTTTTGCTAATTTCCTCCAAAACATCTGCTTTCTTGGATGCCATTACTCCCAGAATGATTTTCAATCAAGAAAGTGGCTTCCTAAGTAGTTTGAATTGTGACTATATCGCAACTAGGGCACGCCCGATCCCGACATTGCTTCCCGATACTTGTTGATATTTGATCGTGAGCGCAACACCTATATGCCATGATCCCTTCGGTCTTCCCAACCAGCTCCAGTCGCGACTGCATCTCGAGATTCACCTGTACGCCGTGATGCTTCCTAGCTGACTACAATCGTGATTGTATTACGCTTGTTGGTTTTCCAAATAGTGAATGTATTATGACAAAGGCCACGAATAATGACTATATTGTAAGGTCCACGATCCCATCGCTGCTGGCTAGCTCAAATCGTGACGGTATAACGAGGTTCAATGACGAAACACGACTGTTCTCCCCGTCTTAGTGAAAGAAAGATTCCTAGCGCAACAACTGATGCTTTGATATCAATTTGATAAGAACTAAAAGAGTTTTTTCGCAGAAATTAAGCTAATCAAATATTTATTTCAACAACACCAAACAACTCAATTCAATTACATAAATGTTAAGCACCTACATTTTGTGAGGTAGGTGATCTCTCCCAAACCTTAACACCCATAATTTGATGGTGGACAATCTCTCCCAAACCTAAATCTTAAGATGCAAGATAACAATCTCATAGCATCCCTACTCCTAAGCATAATAAGCCATATTTATACCAAACAATAATAACTATTAGAAGACTAAATTACTCTTAGGCGTCAGTCTAACAAAATCCTTGGTAATATGTGAACATGTACTTTAGGGATAGTTCCTAGGTGAAATTTCTAACCCTAATAGTAATAGTGCTTTTAATTGTTAGGTAGAGAAAAAATACAATTAGTTGAAATTAGCGAATTAAATATCTTTGGCAAATTTTGAGAGCTCTGAAGTGTAATGTTTTGATATTTAAAGTGAGGCTGGAAGGTGTAACCTTCAAAATTTAAGCTTAATTATCAAACGTGTATCTTTAAGCCAATAGGATGAAGCATTTTGCAACTAATTTTCCTTTAAGCTAGCTTTTGGAAGCTTTTCTTATGAATTAAGATAAGTTTCCATGAAATTAGAACTGTAAATCTTTTTGAATTTATTAAATAAATCTCTCTATTCATCTTAAAGAGAGTGAAATGTAAGGCTTCTTTGTATGTCGTATTGATATTTTAGCCTTCTCCAATTTTTGGGATCACTCTTAAAATGAGGATGAGTATCCTTTCACTTTACAATGTTTTTCAAACAGATTTCCCAGTATAACTAATCGTGGCTTACCTATTAAAAATATCAATATAAGACTTTGGTGCTAAAGAAATTATATTCAAATTACCTAATATTATTTTTTTATAGAAAACTGATTGTCTAATGTTATTGGTACAGAATTCTATTGGGGGTGTTTCTCACCAGACTGGGGGCCATGTCAATGAACCATTCTTGTTAGTATTCTTTACACATATAATTACTGAATGAAATGCGCTACAATATCTCTCTCTCTTTTTTTTTAAATAAATCTGAACACATTTTCTGTTTTTATTGCAGAGGAGATGATGGAGTATCCGGTGTGCTCCTACATCACAAGCAAGTTGTCAACCCTTGATTGCTCTTTTATGACGGTTGGTTAGCAGATTTCTCTTAGGTCATGGAATGTCAAGGGTGTCGACCTCACTTCATTATGTCCATGCCAAACTTTTCCTTAGAATATATTGCAAACTGCTTCTTATGCTGGATATTTGTTCTTGCCAAAAGCTTTTTCTTCTCAAAGTTAGATGTAATTGTAATTTTTTTTTGGGAAATTACATTTTGACATAATTTCTATGTATTTACAACTAGCACCTAAACTTTTATATTTACATGCAAAACACTTTGGTGTGATAAACCTATGCATGAAAAGGTGTATTCCACCTTTAAAAAGTTGGTGATAGTGGTATTTATGATGTGATAGGAAGATTTGTGTGTTATGCATGCAAATAGGAAAGTTTTGGTGTTAGATATGTAAATACATATGAATTGTGTGGTATGTGTGTAACTGCGTGTTGTTTTTAGCATTCCTTGTACTGATCTGTTATTTGCTAATGCGTTTGATATATTGTCAATATATGCAAATTTATTTCTAAGTATTTGAAATCCTTGTTCTTCAGGACTGCTAAAGATAACCCTCCTGTAACTTTTGCAATAGCTGCTTGCGAAACTCAAAATGTAAATGTGACTGTTCTACCAAATTTTGGGCTTTCTGGTGAGAACAGTGTTACAGCTAGGGACATGTGGGCTGCCATGGTGCAGGTATAGTTTTCCAAGGTTATTGCTTTGTTCACTGGTAATGAAATATTCATCAATTTAAAACCATTTTCCTCCTCTGATGTAATTTTGAAGTTTATTTCTCTTACTGTTATTGCTGTTGACGAGTGGATTATGTTATCTTGTTGGTTTTTTAAGGATGGGCATTTTGAACGGCAAAACTTTGATTCTGGTCCGAGCATGCCATCTTCACCTGGTGATACGCTATGTGCAGCAGTTTCAGCTTCTACTTGGGTTGAGCCTCATGGGAAATGCACTGTTGCTTTTGCTTTGTCCTGGTCATCACCTAAAGTAAAATTTCAGAAGGGATGCACATATCATAGGTAATATTTTTTTTTGCATTTTGTTAATCTTAATCCTTTTGTAGCGCTATTTTGGATATTGTTTTTTTTTTTGTTGATAATTCAATGCGATAAGTGAGTATTTTTATAGAAGAGAAGTTATAACTGGTATTGGTTTATGGAGTAGTGATGAATGATGCTTTTACATCGTATAGATGACATTATGCAATGGCCTTCGGTCTTTATAATTGAATAAAATGCCAAAATAGTCCCTTGACTATTCATATGTGGTCATTTTAGTCCCCGAGTTTTTGTAAGTGTTAAATTTATCCCTGGATTCTTTTAGTGGGAGCTAAAATAATTCTCATGGGGGACTGTTTGAGCATATTTTAAAAAAATTTTGGTAGTAAATTGCACCGACTAAGATGACCCCCTACAAAGAGTTAAGCTACTATTTTGGCACTTTTCCCCTTTTTTATGATAATGTCAATTAGTATTAAACTTAAAGAGTGAAACTAGTATTGATATACTAACAACAGAAAAAATTGTTCTAAAAAATCTTAGTTCATTATGACTTGGCTTTAGAACATTACAACATTTTTACAAATTAATCCCTAAATATCCTCTAATTACAATAAGTCCTTAAATTAGGTAATAATCTCCCTCAAGATAGGCAAAAGGTATCTACTAAGCCCATCTTATCGCATAACCTAGACAAATTTAATGAGCTAAGTACTTTGATGAGGCAGTCAACCACTTGCTCTCTAGTAGGCAGTGGCTATACTTAGCTCCAGTTGTTCGTTATTCAAATTTTCCTTGTGAAGAACCTATCAATCTCCATGCAATGCTGATTGCTGACTTGTTGTTGCACCACAACTTCATTTGAGCTCTACCAACAAGGCTCTCAACAACATCATCTAGGCAACTCCTAAGGCCATGGCCCTGTATTCTGTCTCTACTATTGACCTTACTACAACCGACTGTTTCTTGCTCTTCCAAGAAACCAAGTTGCCCCCTACAAACATACAAATGTGGATCAATACAACTCGCCCAATCAGAGTCATAATAGCCCTCAATACCTATATGCCAATTATTTCTGAAGATTAACCTCTTCCTTGGTGCACTCTTCAGGTACTCAGAATCTGATACTCTGTATCCATGTCTTTTTTGGATCACGCATGAAGCGACTCACCACTCTCACTGCAAATGAGATGTCGGAACGAGTGCGACTCAGATAGGTTAGACGACCCACAAATCTCTGGCATTTTTAGCGATTAACTGGCTCTCCTTCCTCTACACTCAGCTTTTTCTTTTGATCAATTGGAGAGACTACAGGCTTGCATCCCAACATACATGCTTCCGTGAGGAGATCCAATACATACTTCCTCTGAGTCTAGACGATTTCCCTCTGGCCCACGGGCCACCTCAATCCCAAGGAAGTATCTAAGTTGTTCTAGGTTTTTCACCTCAAATTCTTTGCCCAATCTTACCTTTTGATGAGCAAGCACTTTTCATTATTAGTAATAATCATGTTATTATCATACACAACAAGCATTGTGGTGTGACCTTAATGTTATGTACAATTGAAATTGATTGATGATATCCCATACCCAATATAATTTTTCTAAACTTGTCAAAATAGCTCGAGGAGACAAGCTATAAAGTGACTTTTTGAGCCTACATGTCTTGTGCACTGTCTGGCCTGTATCGAATCCTGGTGGCATCTCCATATACACATCATCTAGTAACTCGTCATGAAGAAACTCATTCTTAATATCATGTTGGCGTAACATTCACTCACCATTCATTGCCAGAGAAACTAGTACACTGTGCTCATCTTCGTGACTGGTGCAAATATTTCTTCATAGTCAATATCATATGTCTAACTATACTATTTTACCACAAACGTGCTTTGTAACACTTCACATTCTCCTCTGGATTTTGTTTCGCAGTGAAGATCCATTTGCACCCAACTGCTTTTTTTCTTCTTGCTAGTGGAACTATCTCCCATGTTCGGTTTTTATTGAGAGCGCCAAGCTCTTCATGCATGATAGTTTTCCACTTGGGATCTTCCTTAGCTATCTGCCAACACTTGGGTATAAAGACAGTGTCTAAATATGCAATGAATGCTCTATACACAGGTGATATGTTAGAGTTTAAAACAAACCGAGCAATGCCATGTTCCTGCCCAAAATGATCAAGAGGTTGAGTCTGTGGTGGATTAAGTAGGTGTCTCCAGGGTTGGGGTAGACCATAATAAGGGACTAGCTGACTCGAGTGGCACTGCATGCAAAGTTCTCTCATTATACTTCATTCTTCTTGTATACACCCTTATCTCCCCTTCATCTCAATGTCACCACTTATGGATTCAATCTCCTCATTTTCAATCTCATTTTTCATCTCTTTAACTGATTCATCCCACATTACAGGAGGAGACATCGCTCCCACATGCACCTATCTCTCACCATTACTAACCCTCTCTTGTTTCATACTTCCAATATTTGGTGAGTCATCAAAGGGTGAGGTCACTTTCAAGGTGTAATACGATTCAAGTTCTCTAATGGACACATCCAACTCACAAACAATCTCTTCTCTATCGGGCTCCAACAATTTCTAGGTAGCAGAATAACCCACGAAATATATATTTCACCGCTCTGGAATCTAGCTTCCCTACTAATAGGCTGTTGTACTTCACAAAACATACGCAACAGATTACCTTCAATGGGAGGATCTCGATATTATCTCCTTTTAACATCGGAAAAAGAGACTTTTAATTCAACACCTTGAGAGCATTGTGTTGATCAGTTGAGCAGTTGTCAAAACTGTTTGCCTCAACAATTTTTTTTGGGACGTTATCACAATTATCATGTTTTGGGCTACCTCTAGAAGGTGTCTATTATTCTTCTCTGCTACTCTATTTTTGTCGGTATGCATGAACATGTAGTTTGATACTGCATCTCTTGGGTGGATTAGCATTCCCCAAACTCTTTATTGGTATACTCCGTTCCATCAACAAATCTCAATATCTTCACTACCGCACCATATTGAGTCTAGATTGCCTGTGAAAATCTTTAAAGCAAGCAAATGCATCACCCCTTACTTTTCATTAGATACAATCAAGTGACACGAGTAAAACAATCAATAAATATCACAAAATATAGATAATCATTCATCGAACTTATAGAACAAGATATCAGAATGTATCAAATTCCCAGAACTGATATAAGAACTCCTAATAAAATGCTTACCAAACTCACAAATATCACATACAAGTTTTGGTTTATTTGCCTTTTCATACAAAAACATATACAAACGCCTCAATAAACTATAGCAATAGTGCCCCATATGTTTTTGATGTAGCAGTAACACATTCTTCACACTCCTCCCAGATTCTCCTACTCTAGCATTCTCTTCCGTGGATTTCAAGACTGAGTACATCTTCTCTCTATCTCTACTAAGCCACGTTCCAGTACCAAATGTCTGATCCGTATATTTCTCTTGAAAGATTACCTGTAGAATATCAAATGAAACAACACATTTTAGTTGGAGAATAAATACACTAATGGATAAAAGGTTCACCGGAAAGGAATGAGCATACAAAATATTGGACAAAGTCATAGATATGGTACATCTCAGTATAGTCTTACCAACTATAGGTTGTAGTACCCGCGATGTATAGTCGTTCGCAAGACCACACCAAGCATAGCTCCCTGTGTCGCGATTCTACGTTGTCTCACCCACGATGTAGTGGCTTCCAGAGCCCATTGAGAAGGCAACGATTGGACTGCTGCATACGAAGACCACCTAAGTTGCTCCTGCATCCTTGCATTTGAAGCCGAAGCCTCTGTTAGCTCTAATCCCGACCGCTTCATGATCCCGACTTTTTACAACTCTAATCGTGACTGCTTCGTGAGGATGACACTGATCCCGCTCGTCGCGGCTGCTTCATGATCCCGACTCATGCCGGCAGCTTTGCGAGGAAGACGCCGAAGGAAGAGAAAAATGGGAGTTTTGGGTTTCTTTACGTCGATCCCGTCTCGCCAGATCGAGCACCGGGCGATAGGATTAGAGCTTTGATACCAAATAGAAAAGTTGCTCTAAAAATCTTAGTTCATTTCATTAATGACTTGGCATACATAGAGTCTTAGAATATTTTTACAAATAAATCTCTAGACTTCTTCTATTTATAAGTCGGACATTAAATTCGGTACAAATCTCAACACTAACCACTTGCTTGCTGCTTTTAGGTTGTTGTTTGGTATTTAGGTGTGCTTACTCCGTATTTTATTTGTATGTTAGGCAATACACTAGATTTTATGGAACTTCTCCGAGTTCTGCAGTTGATTTGGTGCATGACGCGTTAAAGAGTAAGTGGTACTTAAATGCTGTACCTTATTGTCAACTTAAATGCATGTAATCTTATGAAGTTTCTTTATATTTCTCTTCTTAGCATTCTTCTAGAACTTGTATATTGCAGACAGGATTCCTAAAATGTGATTATTTTATCTATGCAAAATTATGTGTCAGAATATAAGTGGTGGGAGGAAGAAATTGAAAAATGGCAAAATCCTATTCTGAAGGATACCAAGCTTCCGGAATGGTAATTACCTCATTTTTCAGAATTTAATTCCTTCAATATTATAGATTTTGATGGTTGAAGCATATTTCTTTGTGCATATAGCTTTTAGAATCTTATTATTTTTTCCGGATTTGGTTGCTAATTTAAAATTCATGAAAGAGAGTTTTCTTGAAAACTTGATAGTGAGATAGTTTTCTTTCTTGGCCGTGTAAAGATTCTATCCATCGATTTCATTTTTATGCCAAATATAACGTTCCTAACAATTGTAGGTACAAATTCACCCTTTTCAATGAACTTTACTTTTTGGTTGCTGGAGGAACAGTATGGACAGGTATCCATCGGTGCATATACTTATTGCTATTTTTGTTCAGCTCATATAAGATGACTTCACTAAATCCTTGTTTATTCTTATACCTAGGCAACTTAAGCATTTTATTTTACCCATAGGCAAAAGTTTATAATTGCACAATTGGGCATTTAGATGTTTTTCTTTGGTCATATCACATATGAGACGTAAGCCTCAAAATAAAAATATTAAATAAATTAAAGATATAAAAAATAAAATATTTAAGAATAATAGTGTTTAAGTCATAACATAACATCATAAAAAGTTATACATACATTCAATAATAAGTAAGAAGTGTAGCATAAAAGTAAACATAAACAATGAGTTCAAATAAAAAAAAACAAATAAATATTTTCTAAAGTTAAGTTGTTAGGATTTTCCCCTCTGAATTTATAAGTTTCTCTTACTCACATTACTTGGAGGGTTTTTATTAACATCATTATTTTAGTGGATTGTTTTCTCTTCTGATTTGTTCTCAATTATACCAACTTACTTCAAACCTTTCTTTTTTTTATTCATTTTCGAACTCATATCACATTTCTCATTTCTAGTCAATAAAATCAAATAAAAATATTATTTAAAATAATGAATATAGTACTTTAGTTTGTCGTAACTCGAAGAGTTTTTGATTGTTTCAGAAAGCTATACTTGGTGATCAAACTTCCCTTTATTGAATCAGCAATTATTCCATTCATATAATGGTACAATTCTAATTTAATCACTGCATTGGTGAACTTATACTCATTATACTGATGTTTAGGCTATAGATAATGTCTCGCTGTATGCAAATATTGATGCACTTGAGGCTCCCATTTTTTATTTATAATCTCCCAAATTTTTTCGGAGCTTTCCTCATCTCCAGCTAAGACTTTTTCTATTAATTCGTTTGCCTTATCCAATAAATTAAAAATAAACGCATTGCCGGCTTTTTCTCTACATGAACCGTTATGAAGACCCGAACCAAGGGCTTTATAGCTGTAAGTGCATAAAACACTTAGCAAAAAATTTCATTTAAAATAATCTTTCTTACTTTTGTTCCTTTATATTTCTTTTGCTCATGCACAACTTAACCTCTAAGTCAAAGGGAACCTTGCTTCTAAAGTTTGCCTTGCTCCTAGGATACTTTGCAAGTGCTTCATGGAAAGTATAGTGGATGTTGGTCTAATAAGTTCTTTATAGAACTTTGTCACCATGGCCAAAAACTATTTATGATTGTAAATAAAAAGGTCACTTGGGCCATCTGGGCTTTTGATGTTTTTTTTTCTTTTTAGCCCAACACGTAAAAAAAATAAAAATAAAATAAAATAAAATAAAATAAAATAAAATAAATAAAAAAACAGAAAGTAAAGCAGTATGCCTCTTTAAAAATGCTTCAAGGTGAACCTTAAGGTTTGTCTCATTGGTTTGTGACTTTTTTATCATGTTAGCCTATAGCCTTAAGGCGTATTAAATCTGTTTCCCTCATAGGTATGCTTCAAGGAGGTTGCTTGTCTCATTGGTTTGTTAATTTTTTATCATGTGAATTTTGTAGTATTAAATCTGTCTCCCTAGGAGGTATATGCCTTAAGATGCATAAACTTACTGCATAATTTTAAACATGACCCATTAGATCCATTTGTGGAATATGTTTATGCCATTTTTAAGAAAAATTACCCTACTTCTCTGCTTAACATCAACTAGGATCAAATATGTTACGTGCAAAAAGTAATAACAAAGAGATCAACCTACCAATAAAATGGCCCGTAATTGGATGTGCGAAAGACTTGAGGATCTGATTTGAGTTTTCAAAAAGTAATAACAAAGAGATCAACCGACCAATAAAGTGGCCCGTAATTGGATGTGCAAAAGACTTGAGGATCTGATTTGAGTTTTTCTAGGATATCGGTGATCCATATGATCTTTTTAACATGATGACAAGAGTCACAATAAAAGAATTGATTGAGTTTTTTTGGTGTGGTAAACTCATTTTATTTATTTATTTTTGTTTTATACTCATTGTTCATCACAATAACTGCAGTTTGCTTCTGTACTTGTAGTTGCCATAGTGCGTACAATTGCTATAGTGTTTTGGTTTGCTGTTGTGTCCATTATTGCAGCTGTGGCACCTGCACTGCAACATCAGTGTAGTGCACGGGCAAAGAGAGAGAGAGAATATTGTGGGTGGGTTGAGTTTACTCTCTATGGCAAAAAAATAGCACAATTAAAGGAACACCTATTCTTAAATCCACAATTTAGGAACAAAACTATCCTTTCTAAATTTATTCCACAAAAGAAGAAAAATTCAGATTGAACTTCAAAATATAATCCAAATATTTTGCCTCTTGTTCTAATTATCCATCCTCTTTAACGACTTTTGTTATTGTGAACTTTTCCATACATATAATAAAATTATAAAAGTATCTATATTAACTATGTGGTGCCTATTGTAAGCAAAACCTCTTCTTTCATCCATTTACTATATTTGGAATTTTATTTAAAAGCACTTTTAAAGTAATAGGTTGAGTTATAAACATATAACTCAATTGGTATATCGTAGTTCTAAACCACATTAACTTGAAAAAAAAGAGATAATATGCATGCTAGTCATCATTTTTAAATTGTAAGTAACTGATAAAACTTGGTTTGCATTTCAATAACAATTATTTGTTAGTTATCTACAATTAAGGAGTCATATCATTCTATTTGGCATTAAGAGGTAATACTTATATTGAACTTTTCATAACTTATATTTTATATTAATCTATACATCTAAACATCGCCATCTATAAACTTCACTCTCTTATGGATGATACATCCCCCATTGGCACAATAGGGTGTAGCTCATGTCTTTTATTTTTTGATGGTACCTTCTCATTTGTCAATACATATCTCCAAAGGCATAGCTTGACATAAGTTGTACTTCTTTATTTTTCTAAGATGAATGGTAAAAGTCATCAAGACATGGATACTTTAGTGTCCCTAATTTTTATCATAAGGGGTGATTCCATTATTCAAAATGCATATATTATATCTCATTTTCCTTTTATTTTCCTCTACAAATAATCTAATTTTAAAGAACATTGTAGTATTCAATATAAGCAATTGAGACATAATATGAAAATATTCTTCATTCTAATTAATTTGAAAGATCATTTTTATGCAAGATAAATTATTATGGTTTGATAACAAGACACCATCTCATGTATTTAAGTTAACAAAAAATGTAAAACTATCAATTAAATGCAACTGATTTAGATGAGAAGAGACACACTTATTTAATCTAGAAATGTAATCCCCCACCTTATTATGTTCAAGTATTACTCATCAAACATGCTACGACTTAAACATCAATTTCTATGAACCAATCACAATATCCAAATATCAGACACATTTGAAATAAAATTAGCCAAATTCCCTAATAATTTTCACACATTTTAACATTCATATTATAATAATATCTTCATTATCGTTAATTTCAGACCAATCGGTAAGTCATCAGACACCTTTCCTCTTTGGTGATACAACAACAACAACAACAAAAACAACAAACATTTACCCCACTAAGTAGGGTTGGCTACATGAATCCTTTTTTTCCATTGCGTCCTATTGAGTGTCATATTTTCATTTAATTCTAATAATTCATTTTCATTTAATTCTAATAAATTAAGATCATTTTTTGTACAATATGCCCAAGTCTTTGTAGGTCTACCTTTGCCTTTCTTAACATAAGTCGAATCTAAAACGGCTACTCTCCTAATCGGATCATCAAAGGTTCGACGCTTAATGTGACCAAACCATCTAAGAGGACTCTCTAATTTTGTCCACCTCTGGAGCTATGCCAACCCTATCACGGATATATTCATTTCACATGTTGTCTCTAAGTGAAAAGCCACTCATCCACCTAATCATTTTCATCTCGGCAACACTTAAATTAGTTTTGAGTATTTTCTAAGGAAGTTAATATCTTGAGTTAGCTTGAGCTTAATGATTTTTTATAGAATAATGATAAGTAAATAATTATCATGTATGAAATGTAGGCTTTTTTGATATAGTTATCGAGTAAAGTGTCAAAATAGTCCCCTGGCTGTTTACATGAAGCCATTTTAATCCATAGTCTTATAAAAGGATCAAATTAGTCACAAGAATCTTTAAATTAGTGTTGAAATAGTCCTTTTAATGATAAATATTAATATAAAATATGACTTTTTCATATTTTATAGAACTTTCTCACCATGGCCACAAAACATTTATGATTGTAAATAAAAATGTCACTTGGGCCATCTAGGCTGTTGAGTTTTTTTTTTCTTTTTAGCCCAACAAGTCAAAAAAATAGAAAATAAAATAAAATAAAATAAATAAATAAAGTAAAGTCGTATACTTCTTTAAAAATGCTTCAAGGTGAACCTCAAGGTTTGTCTCATTGGTTTGTGACTTTCTTATCATGTGAGCCTATAGCCTTAAGGTGTATTAAATCTGTCTCCCTCGGAGGTATGCCTCAAGGAGGTTGCGTGTCTCATTGGTTTGTGAATTTTTTATCATGTGAGTTTTATATTATTAAATCTATCTCTCTCGGACGTATATGCCTTAAGATGCATAACCTGCTACATAATTTTAAACATGACCCATTAGATAGTGACCCGTAATTGGATGTGCGAAAGACTTTAGGATCTGGTTTGAGTTATTCTAGGATAACGGTGATCCATAGTCTTTAACATGATGGAGTCACGAAAAAAGAATTGATTGAGTTTTTTTGGTGTAGTAAACTCATTTAAAGAGATAGCATGATAACATGATTTTTAACATGATAACAAGATGACAAGAGACACAATTTCTATGAACCAATATCCAAATATCAAACTCATCGAAAATAAAATTAGCTAGATTCCCTAATAACTCCACACATTTTAACATTCCTCATATTATAATATCTTCATTATCGTTAATTTCAAACCTATAGGTAAGTCATCATTTATGACTATCAGACTCCTTTCCTTTTTGGTGATACAATAACAACAACAACAACAACAACAACAACAACAAAATTTGATCTCACTAAATGGGGTCGGCTACATGAATCATTTTTCTCCATTGAGTCCTATTGAGTGTCATATTTTCATTTAATTCTAATAAATTAAAATCAATTTTTATACAATATGCCCAAGTCTTTCTAGGTCTACCCTGCCTTTCTTAACATAAGTCAAATCTAAAACATCTACTCTCCTAATCGGATAATCAGGTGGTCGAAGTTTAATGTGCTCAAACCATCTAAGATGACTCTCTGTAAGTTTGTCTGTCATTGGAGCTACACCAACCCTATCATGGATATATTCATTTCACATTATGTCTCAAGTGTAAAGCCACTCATCCACCTAATCATTCTCATCTCGACAACACTTAACTTAGTTTTAAAGTATTTTCTAAGGAAGTTAATATCTTGAGTTAGCTTGAACTTAATGATTTCTTATAAAATAATGATAAGTGAATAATTATCATATGTAGGCTTTTTTAAAATAGCTATGAAGTAAAGGGTCAAAATATTCCCCTGACTGTTTACATGGAACCATTTTAATCCATAGTCTTATAAAAGGGTCAAATTAGTTATTAGAGTATTTAAATTAGTGTTGAAATAGCCCTTCATGGGGATTATTTCAGCCCATTTTAAAAGAGTCTAGGGACTAAAATGACCTCTTGCAAAGAGGCGGGGAACTATTTTGATACTTTTCTCTATGGTTATCTATAACATATAAACGATTCTTTTCTTATGACCAAACCTACATAAAATGCATAACCCATTCATTTAGAGATCAATATCATAAAGATTAATATAATTAATAAACCCTTACTGATCATGTACTTATTTACTTATAACTTAAATCTATTATAGAACATCTTTATTAATTAACAGTACATATTGTTCCTCTCCCGTACATACAAGTTTATTATTTAATACTATTACAATCTCATAGAAACAAAGGCCAATCCAAACCTTAGATCCTTCTATGTTAACATGTGTTGATCCAAATGAGGGAAAACTCGAGCTAATTTCATCTCATACCATTGCATTCCAATTGAATTCACCCAATGGTTCTAAATCCTCTCCCTTTTTAAATAATTCTTATAAAATTTTGTTTATTTACATAAATAAAATTATTAACCTACTTAGTTTTGAGCAGTTATCTATTTTAAACAAATTCAATCTTGAGGTCATAATTAAATCTTAAATTATTTACATGCATCCACTCAAATCTTTATCATCACATAAAAAATACCACTATCACGAACTTTTCAAAATTGAAATACACTTTTACCTGCATACATTTTTAATATCAAATTACCTTATAATTTTAAATAATGAACTTGAAGTGTTGGATATGTAGATGCATAAGAATTGTGTGACATGTATGTAAATTTCTCTTTCAATTAATTTTTTATTTCACTTCACATGCATGAATGTTTTGAACAACAATGTATAATTTGGACATTTTTTTTCATGTACCTTTTATGATGAATTTATTCCTTAAAAATACCCACTGTTGCAGATGGCGGCGCTCCAGTTTTTGATGAAAAAGCAAGCGTTGGTAAAAATAACAAATCCGTTAAAAATGCGAACAAGGAGTCAAAATCTGTTTCCAAAAAACTGAGCAAGGCAGGCACCACCTCTGAACGAACAACTAATGAAGACACAGAGCAAAGAAATGATGATGAGATAGTATTTAGTAATCCTATTGTAGGACAAGAATTGGCCGATAGTGATTTGGAAACCAGAATCAATGAATTCATGCATCCTCCCAACTCACAGAACGATCCTGATAATGTGGGCAGATTTCTATACTTGGAAGGAATTGAGTACATCATGTGGTGCACATACGATGTTCATTTTTACGCTTCTTTTGCACTTCTAGATCTCTTCCCAAAAATCGAGTTAAGCATCCAGCGAGATTTTGCCCGAGCAGTGCTCTACGAAGACCGACGAAAAGTCAAGTTCTTGGCCGACGGCAACTGGGGAATCCGCAAAGTCAAAGGTGCCGTCGCTCATGATCTCGGAACCCATGATCCCTGGCTCGAAATGAATGCCTATAACATACATGACACTAGTAAATGGAAGGATCTCAATCCCAAGTTTGTGCTCCAGGTTTACAGAGATTTTGCTGCCACTGGCGATATGGATTTTGGACGAGAGGTCTGGCCAGCAGTGTGCGCTGCCATGGACTATATGAATCAATTTGATCGGGACGGCGATGGTCTCATTGAGAATGATGGTTTCCCCGATCAAACTTACGATGCTTGGACGGTTCACGGGATCAGTGCTTACTGTGGTTGTCTCTGGCTTGCCTCCCTCCAAGCGGCCGCAGCAATGGCGCATCGTCTCGGAGATCACGCTTACGCTGAGAAATGCACGATAAAGTTTTTGACGGCGAAGTATGCATTCGAATCAAAGCTGTGGAATGGTTCTTATTTTAATTATGACAGTGGAAACAGCAGCAACAGTAAGTCGATACAGGCGGATCAATTAGCAGGGCAATGGTATGCGGCGTCGTCTGGATTGCCGTCCCTTTTTGAGGAGAACAAAATACGAAGCGCACTGCAGAAAATATTTGATTTTAATGTGATGAAGGTGAGGGGAGGGAGAATCGGGGCGGTGAATGGGATGCATCCTAATGGGAAGGTGGATGAATCGTGCATGCAGTCGCGCGAAATCTGGACTGGTGTGACCTATGGCTTGGCTGCCACCATGATTCTTGCTGGGATGGAGGAGCAAGCTTTTACTACTGCTGAAGGCATTTTTACTGCTGGTTGGTCTGAGGAGGGACACGGGTTAGTTTTGTTTTCTTTTTTTTCCTTCCATTTCTCATTTTAGCGATGTCTCTCGTTCTCTCTTTTTGATCTCTTCTTCCTGTGCTCTAATCTAACACCATATCATACTTTAAAGCCCTTATAAGAGTGATTTACATACATACCACAAAAAGCTCATTTGTTTTGACATGTAACGCCCAATCTTTATTTATTTACATATCTCTTACCTAAACATTCATATTTACACACATAGCACTCGTGTCTTTAATATCATATCAGAAATAGCACTATTATCGCTTTCCCCTTTTGTGCATAGGTTTAAAGCACCAAAGTGTTTGTATATGTAAATATGAAAGTTTTAGGTGTGAAATATGTAAATACTTGGGAAGTATGTGCTACTTATAAATTTATTTATCTAACATCCTATTTTCTAAATCACATAAGAGATACCATAAATATATCTTCTTATGCATATGATTGGATGCTACTTAGACATTAGGTTGTTATATAAGTAAATATAAGATTTAAGTGTTAGATACATGCGTGTATGAAACTTTTGTGGTATGTATGCAAATACCCCATATTATAATTATCACCAGCATTGATACTGAAGGGACTGTTTATCTTCAGAGTAGGATTTTAGAATTAAATACTATAAATTCAGACTTTGTTAAACTTGAGATTATTAATACATAAAAGGAGGATTTACAAAAATACCACTCAATTCTTACGTATTTACATATCTAACACCTAAATTTCAATTCTTACATACACACCTTCTTAACCATGCACGAAAAGCCGTATTTCACTTCTTAAAAGTTAAGATTGTGATAATTTTTGGCCTGATATGCAAGATTTGTGCTGTATCAATGCGGTAAACACACAGGAATTGCATGGCATGTCTGAAAAAAAAAAAATTTCAACATAACTGTTAATTTTTTTAAATTATTTGATGTAAAAAATGTAAAATCTGTGACAATCTTCAGTATAAAAATGCGGCCTTTGTTTGTGGGTGGCTCAGGTACTGGTTTCAGACACCGGAGGGATGGACGATTGATGGGCACTACAGGTCCCTGGTCTACATGCGGCCGCTTGCGATCTGGGCGATGCAGTGGGCATTATCTCCCCCGAAGGCCATTGTGGATGCTCCCAAAGTCAATATTATGGAGAGGATTTACGTTTCCCCCCTCACCCTCAGAGCCATACATGAGAATGGCGTGCGGAAGATTCCACCCAAAGGCAGCTGCTTTCGCAATTCTGTTTTTCATTGTGATTGCTAGCTGATTATGCCAAGATGAGAGAGAGAGAGAGAGAGAGAGAGAGAGAGTTTATTCATTGCTCCTAAGTCCTAATCCATCAAGGATAGAGCTGAGGACATGATTTATATGTATTGTAAGTAAGAGTTTCTTTGTTTTATAAGGTTTTTTTTACTGAAACTGTCTTCATTGGTGCTGCAAGTTTACATGCATGCCACTCAATTCCTATGTAATTACTTATCTAGCACAATGTATCTTGGAAGATTTACATACATAGTACTCATCAGTTTCTATGCATTTTACTTCCACCTAAACTTCAATTTTTTACATGCATGCCACCTTGCATGTGCATCAAAAGGTGTATTTCACAATTTTATGGTTAAAATAGAGGTTTGTTTTATTGTGGAGTGAGAGTTTTCGGTGGTTAATATGTAATAAGTGAATTTTAGGTGGATAGATGTGTAAATACGAAGGAATTGGGCGTTATGTATGTAACTGCTGCTTTTGTTTTATATAACGGCAGACCATCATTTTTAGAGTTTGAAGAGTGAAACACACATTTGCATACATAAGAAAGGTGGCACACATGTGATAATTGAAATTTGGATGTCAAGTGTGTAAATACATGTATATACCTTTCATTTTTAACATACTAAATTTGTTTTCAAATTAAAATATGAAAAATTAAAATTAAAATAAAATAATATTATCACAAAAGATTTCTATGCTTTTATATATATGGTACATATTTATCTTAAATTTCAATAAGAAAGTGGATGTTAAGAGCTTGTTTGAGAAAAGATTCCTGTCTGTTTAGTTTTTCAGTCTGTTATCACAGTTTTGTTTAAGCAATTAATTTTTTTTCATTTTTTTAGAAATTTTTTGTGATAAAAATTATTTTTTACAATCAAAGCTATTAAATTGTGGTGATTGCAAGAAATGTATACTCTAATTTTTTGAAAATAAAATAAATTTGTAATAGTCGTCACAGTTTTTTTTAATAACACTCTTCTACAGCAGCTTAACATCTGCTTCTTTAAGCAATTACTTCTTTAAACAGCTGCAATTGTCCCAAACAAACCCTAAGTATATCTCACATGAATGTAAATAGTTTGGAAGTATGAAGCGAAAAAGGCAAATTAAGTTTCTTTTTCTTATATATAAATAATAGAATATTTTTTTTAAAAAATTACAATGAGAATTATAAATAATGTAGATTTTCGAGAAAATATGATATCAATTTTCTTACGATTACCTCGTGTTAATATGTTAGATAGATAAAGATAATTTCTTATCGCATGAGTTTCTAAAAAATAACAAGAAAATAATTTCCCAAATGGAACTATGAAGCTTTAAAATGTAAAGCAGAGAAAATGCAGTCCCAAACATAACCTAATTGAAATCACAACCAAAATTTAATTTAAAATAAATAAATAAAAAACATCATTGGCCAACAAGAACTGAGTTTTAAAACCTTGAATTGAATTGAAATCAATGCTAAAAAAGCCTTGGTTTTTGGGCAGAAACTGAATCCCATAATCAACACAACTATGAAAACAATCAGCACTGAAATTTTAGTAAACAGACTAACACTAAGAAAATGCCTTTAAATCCTGCATTAAATAAGAAAAAAGCCATACCACCGAACCCATAGTTCAGGAAGAGCTATGGTTTTATTTTTGGAAAATTTACATGTCTATGATGCAATTCTTTTATATTTATAAATAAAAACTGTCAGCATGAATCTCAAAGTTTTCGAACAGCCAGACAATTAAGATGTCCTACCGTCATACTGCAGACCGCGTGGTCAATAATCGACTGACACCATGGCGAGAGGTTGAACGACATACCACGCCGACAGTCCCGACCAACCGGGATGCAGGCAGAAATCTTTGATTGCGGCTAATCGGTCAACCCACCTTTATCACGGAGCAAGAAATAGACATTCGACCAGGCTCCCTGGTCGAGTGACACGTACTTCAAAGAGGCACAGTCGGCACTCAGCAACAGTCGGTCAAATTCAAGCAAGTGAGTCAGTCAATTACCGTCATGTTAAAATTTAAATTATGATGCAAATATGGTATGAAATCCAAACGATTAAAAAGAGTACCCATTGTATTAAAAATAATTTTCATAACCGTTCCCTTCTTTCTATAAATATACAAAATACACTCCTATAAATAGAAGGAAAAAAAATATGAATAAAGGGACTTTTACCGATTCTCTCTGCAGAAAATTCCTGACCTGTTATACTCTCTTTATCTCTTCCTTCATTTACTCAATTCTAAACTCTCGGGGCACGTTCAAAACGGGCAATTTATGATCCAACAATATCTAACACAAAAAATTTGATAGTTACACTCATCGAAAAAGGTGTAATTCACTTTTAAAAACATAATGATGATATTTTGATCTCATGTTAAACTATTTGAGTGATATGCATTTAAATATGAAGTATGTTTAGAAGTAAGATTATGAAAATACTTAATGAAGTGTGTGTTATTTATGAAAGCGCACCCTTTTCTTAATGATTCATCTCAACTATATGCATTCTAAGCATGCCATCGCCCCGCTTGGTGATCATGGCATATTAGCTAACATCGCGGTGCAATCAAAACTTCTATTTAGCTGCATAACATAATACACGCACAAAAGTAAAAATTTATGATGACAATCTTACCAAATTAGTGGTAACATTGTAATTAAGACATCATTTTATTTGCCGCCAGTACCTATTTATGTCTTTCCATGTGAGTATGCTTACAGTGTTTTCATGGCGAGGAGGGTGGAGCTGCACTGATGCATTCAATGAGATAGTACTAACAATTAATTAATCTTTTCTGGAGATTTATTACCCTTTGCCTTCTTCAACCATGCAGTACAGGCTCTGCAATTGGATCCGTAAATGGGGGGCATTGTGCCTCCTTTCACGCTTTCGAAGAGCGCGGAGGAAATCATTTTATTTTGTTCTCGCACTCGGTGGTCGGTAGTGATCGGCGGCGATCGACGGTGTTGAAAGTCTTCAATTTCTTCTCAAAGCTTCAAATTCTTCCTGAAACCTCAAACTTTCCTCCCTTCGTGAGGGGGTTGGGACTCTATTTGTAGAGGGTCTCGGCTGCAACTAATGAAGGAATATGAATCGTTTTGATCGAATGACCGGAGATGTTCCCTCTATAAGACGATTTTTTATGGACATTTGAGGGCTTTAACGATGTCAGAATTGAGTGATCTAAGGCTCATTGGTTTTTTCTTGTCAGAGCGTTTGATTCAACCATGAACTTATCAGATTCGACATCCACGACCTTTCAAAGATGCCATGCCCTGAAAGCTTTCATAATTGGTTTAATGATTTGATATGAGCTTGATTTGACTTAGATTAGACAAAATTTAGTACCATTGAACTCGTCTGCCGGTCAATTTGATTGTAAGTTTGTTGAAATCAGGTTCTCATCGACTTTAAATTAAAGTATGAATGTTTATTACTCAAAGAGTTGACTCGAGATTCACGTCATATAATGAAAATTTGTTGTGAACGTATCATATGTAAATGATCCTTTTTATCTTGTTAATAGAATTTTTCAAGAAAAATTGATATACATACCATCCAATTCCTATGCATTTATATGTCTAGCATCTAAATTCCAATTGTACCTCTCAAATCATTCATATCTTAAAAAACATCATTGTTTTGACTTTTAAAAGTAAAATACACTTCTTTATGCATAAGTAGGGTGATATATAAATATATATATATATGGGATAAGGATGTAAATTTCTCTATTAAATAAGAGACATGGAAGTAGGGTTGTAAACGAATCGAACACAAAAACGAACAAAGCTTGTGTTCGTGTTCGGTTCGTTTGAAATTTATTTTGTTTGAAATAAGTTCGTGTTCGAAATCTTGTTTCTTAAAGAACGAGCCGAACACGAGCTGTTCGCAAACGATAAGCCAGTTTGACATCCCTAATATTAATATATATAAATAATATATTATATTAATTATATAACTTATATTATATAAATATGTAATATTCATATTAATATGTTACTAACTATATTATTTTTATTAATTTATTATATATTATAATTTATAAAATTTAATTTTTTTTAAATATCATAATTTTTTTTATATATAATTATTTTATATTATTTTATATTTCGAACAATAACGATTCGACCACGAACGAACCCATCACGTTTCGTGTTTAGCTCGTTTAACTAACCAAACAAAAAAAATTGTTCACGTTCTTCTCGTTTACTTATCGAACGAATCGAACACGAACTCATTGATGAATCGAACACGAACTGTTCACAAACAACGAGCTTTTTTGACAGTCCTACGTCGAAGGTCACTAAATAATAATATAAAATACATATTTTTAATTCACGGACTCATAGACCAAAGGAACAGAAGTACGCACTTTATTAATGCCCAAGTTATGAAAATAGTTGAGGTTGCTTTCAGGAATTAAATGGACTGTTTCATGAAAGGCTGCGATCATTAATTCCTACTTCCTCCCCCCCTTACTTAACCTGAAAACTGAAAACAATTAGGCACAATTTTTATTTAGGTACATATCCCACACTTATATTTTTCATATTTACATGAAACATTTTGATGTTTTCAACTTATATCTTAAAAGATGTATTTCACTTTTTTGAAGTGATATTTAAAAAGATTTGTAAATATGAAAGTTTATGTATGAGATATGTAAATACATAAGAATTGTTTGATATGTATGTAAATGTCCCCAAAAAAAAGATTTTTATGTTAATCATGCAAATTTTAAATATAGTATTTTAATCATCCAAGACTTTTCCTCAAAAAATATTTACATGGATACGACATAATATTTAGATATTTAGATATTAAACACCATTTTTTTTTATATTTATATGTAACACACCATAAAAATATCATTATTAGAAACACTATAAAAGGTAAATATATCTCTTCATACATAACTTTGTTACACAAAAACATTATAAATGTAAACATAAAATTTTATGTATTAGATATGTAAATATAAAAATGAAGTGGTATGTATATAAAATTTTGAAAAAAAAAGGTTTTTTTTTTCTTTGGAACAACCAACAGTGGAACGTGAAAATAGATCCTGCTCCCATCCTTCCACCTAAAAATTTTGATTTGATAGAACCATTTATTTATTTCGCTATCTGCAAATCTCAAACAATTAAAACAACAAGACCTGAACAAGTTAAAAAGCAGTAATAATCCCGCTCTTTCGGGCAAATATAATAAAAATCCCCATCCCCTCAATCTCCCAATGCATTATAAATTAAAAAATAAAAAAAAAAAAAAAAAAAAAAAAAAAAAAATCAAATAAGATTCATCAAGTTCCCACCTTTACCACCCCTAGCCATAGATTCCTTAATCTTCTGAACCAAAAGTTCCGCATTTGGATCATAGATCCATCCATATTTATCAAAGAAAGGATTCACCAATGTTTTGGGCGGATATCCCTTTATACAATCTTCCCAAACTCCACAATCTTCCAGATTTCTCTTCACGATCCAAACACAGCTATTGCATTTGAATCCAGATCCAAAAGTCAGCATCAGAACCCTCTCCCCCTTCCTCAGCCTCCCCTTCGCCTCCATGTAGCTCAACACATACCACACACTGCTCGCCGAAGTGTTACCGAATCGATGCAGCGTCATCCTCGCCGGCTCCAATTCCTTCTCATCCAACCCCAAGCTTCGTCCCACGCCTTCAATCACCGCTTTTCCCCCTGTATGAACGCAGAAATGCTCCACCCCTGCTTTCATGTTCACCCGCACCTCCTTCTTCCACACACACGCGAATAGGTAACGCAAGATTTCAGTTAAAGGAAGAATCTTGGGAGCTAAAACCCGGAGATTTTCAAAAAAAGCTTGAGCGGCGGCGGCCGGCAAATCGCGGCTTAAATGGAAGCCGTGCCGGCCTTCCTCGTCTTCCTTCTGGCAAGCACATGCGTGCGCTTCGTTGCTGCGGCCGAGATGGGTTCGAACCAATCCATGCAACTGAAGCTTCGCGTGGCGGCCGCCGAGGTACGGATCGTTAGTCAGCAAGGCCGCGCAGCCTCCCGACCGAAACAAACAGTTTCCCAGCATCATGGAGCGCTTATTCCCGTTATACCAATTCGGCGAAATAGACTCCGATGTCACCATCAAGGCGATGCTTTTCTTGTGGGATTTGAATAAATTTCGTATAAGATCAATGGAAATGAGGCTGGCGCTACATCCCATGCCGCTGAGATTATAGACCAAGATGTCCTCGCGGAGGCCGTAGCGGTTTATGATTCTGGCGGCGAGGGAGGGAGCAGGGGAGAACATGGAAACGTTGACGACGAGGATGTTAATGGCGGAGGGTGGGAGATTGATGCGAGGGCTTATGCGGGCGAAGATGGAGTCGATCAGAGGGAAGAAATACTCATCCATTTCGGAGATGGAGTCTGCCAAGGTTGGATTGGCTTCGCGGCCTTCAATTATGCTGCGGGGGCCGTAAGTGGATTCACCAAGTCCGGAGCTTATCATGACTTTCAGAAGGAATTTGTATTCGTTCAGACCCAAACAGGGGTTGCGAGACACAATGTCGCCGCAGAGGTCGGTGGGGAGTTTCAGCTCGTCGGAAGGTTTTAGGCAGATGTAGTCGAGGAGATAGCAGTTGCGGCGGCGGAACCTGTCGGCGAAATGCCATGACAGGATGAGGAGGGAGTGGAGGAGGAGGATGGTGGAGAACAGAGCTAAGAACTCCATGGTTTTTGGGATGAGGATTGATTATGTGAAGATTGTTTTGATATATAGGAGGAGAAGAGGGGTGGTGGTGGGGGGTATTTGTTTGATTTGGGGAGCTTTGAATGCGGCATTAGCTAATCTTTATCTGCCCAACAACTTCAGCCATTAGCCACCATGTGTTTGCAGAGGTCTGTGACTCCATTATGTTGGGGTTGGGCTTTTGGTTAGATGTGTAGCTGTGATTGAATTTGTATATGTGGTGTGGGGGGAGAAAAGGAAGACGGGTTATTTCGGTCGCCATAACTTGAGAGTCTTGTACGTGATTTTGTTTTGATTCCTTTTCTGTTCTTGCAATATTAATATTTATGTATTGCAGCTTTACATGTATACCCAACAATTCATATGTATTTACATAGGTAATGTGCAAATTTTGATTTTTGCATACATGCCGCCTTGGGTATGAATGAAAAAGATCTCCTTCTTTGGAGAAAAATTTGTGTAAGACATACACAGCGCTGCATATGTCAGAGAGGTTATTGAAAATTATATCTGCGTTATACCTCCTGTAACCTCTCTGTAACTCTTGTAACTTACAAATATATGAAAACAAAAGCGCAAAACTTACTAGAATGTACATGTAGGTTACATGAGGTATAACATGGATATAACCTCCCAATACCCTCTAAATAATCTCCTTGATGTATGCAGCGTTGCGTGTGTAAGTCGTACGCAAATTTTTTCCTCTTCTTTGGGTTCTAGACAATCTTAAAGTATTTCTATCTTATCTCTGATTGAATTCCCAATTAAGCAAATCTTTCAAAGTCAAATATTGAAGTCAATATGAACTATAATTTTAATAAAGGGTATTTTTGTAAAAATAACTCTTAGAATGTAGCTTGACTACTAGAGCTTGCTCTTATGGGGTTTCAAAAATAAAAATAATAAAAATTAACATGTAATTCCTTATATTAATCATGGGAAATCACCGGGATGCATTAAGAGCATCATCATTTACCTTGCATTGAACCCTTGTGGAGCTTATTGTTAATTCTTGCGCAATTGAAGCATTGTCGTTTACAAATCGAGCATCCTCTTTCAGGCGGAAAAATATTAAATTAGGACTCCTAATGTAGAGCTACATTCGGAGTCCAATGAAATCACGCTACGTGGCGGTGACAGAAAATAAAATAAAATCTGTCCGATAACAAAAGAGATTATTCCTCCCGTGTTATTGTATGTTATTCAAGTGTTATTGATGTATTATTTTATTATTATATCACCGAGAATATTCTAAGAACACCATAACACCTGAATAATACAAAATAACACGGAGGGAATATTTCCGTGTTACCGAACCGATTTTTATTTTTTTTTTCTGTCACCGCCACGTGACGTTATTTCAGTAGACCCCAAAAAGTTCTCTACATTAGGAGTCTTGACAAAATATGCGCTCATTTCATGCATACATGATATTTAAAAAGTTATAAAGAGAAAAGCAATTACATACATAACATTAAAACTGCATTATTTATAAAATTAACAGTCACTTTCTAGTCATCATTTTTTAATTAATTCCCATCCTAAGGTTTAAAATCATAAAATACTTCAATTATATATTTTATTTTATTCCCAACAATTTGATTTTTTAGTAATTAAAAAATAATATTCAGGCGTAAAAATCCATCATGGCAAATAGTTTTGATAAAATTTAAACAATTAAAAAATGCAATTATATTTGAATCCAATAAATTACATATCATATATGTCAGCTTTTGCATTTTCGCTCCATATATTTCAAGTGTGTAATTTTTTTTTTTTTTTTTTTTCTTTTTTTTTTCGTGACAGAATTGTCCTGCTCAACCACTACCTCTTTTGTGCCAAAAGAATATTATTAATAAATCTATTTATCCAATGTGAGGTTAAATAATTAATTTTAATTCATTTGTATAAATCTAAAGTTCAAATTAAATTTGTGTTAATTTAATTTAGTGGTATGAATTTGATGCTTGTTAGGAGTTATAGGAGTGAATATTGATCTTTCAACAGGCTGGAGTGATGACAGGTGTGTTTTGTATTACCAGACTGACTGTTCTGACAGTTTTTATTGGCATGATAGGATATGATACTGCACTTATTTTACTATGATTGACATGGGAAAAATATCACTTATGATTAGCCAGATCAACTATCTTGTATAGTATTTGTATGATGATATGCATTTTATATATTGTTGCTATTGTGATTTGATACCATATTGCGGGTATATATTTTGATTTATACATATGCATGTCCAGTGACTTACAGTGCAATCATGCATATTGTTCTATTTTCATGCATTGATTTCAGTTTCAGGTCTCGTGTAACCTATTGAGCTCCTTGCTTACTCTGGTTGTTTTTACATATCTCGAGTGGAGTGAACTGTTGTACTTATTGATAGAGGCATATTTTATATATGTATTTTGTGATCATGATAAATCTATTTGTCTTGTTGAGATTATTAGAAAAACATGATCAATGTATATAAATGTTTTGGATGTAAATGATTTGTTGCATGCAAAGAAAATGAAAGTATGATGATCTTTAATTTTTTGTACTATTATCGGTAACTTAGTGACTCTGTGTAATGGGAAATATAAGATAAAAGAAATCCTTTTTAAATAGATCTTAAGCAAGAAAAATATGGTGTGTCTAAACTTGGTATAATCTATTATTGTATACGGGTTATATCAACTTGGGTTGTGATAGAACACAGCCGGGAAAAATAATGTTTGTAGGTCGCAGATGCCAGAGTTAGGAGTTGCGTGAGTTGTGATCCATGTAAGTCATGGTTGGTCACATAGAGTGCAGCAGAAAACTGTAATAACTTTTGTAAGTTGTAAGGTATTTGCATAGGTCTTAATGGTGAACTGTAATAACGTCTGTAGGTCATAAAGATTGAAGTTGGTTGCATGAGTTGTAAGTTCCATATGTCGTAATTGTTTTTATAGGTTGTAGTGAGGAGTTGTAATGATGTTTGCAGTAGATGCCAAAGTTGGAAGCTACATGAGTTGTGAGCCACGAAGGTCGTAAGTGGTGGTGTAGGTTGTAGCAGTGAGCTACAATAATGTTCGTAGGCCATATTGGCTAAATTTAGGAGTTGCATGAGCTATGAGTCATATAGTTCATTGTTGGCCACATAGGTCACATCAGGGAGTTTTAATAATGCTAATAGGTCATCGAGGCCAGAGCTGGGAGATGTATGAGCTATAAGCCACATTGGATATAGTTGGTTATACAAGCCATAACTATGAGTTTTAATGACATTCATAGGCTCAAAAGCCGAAATTGGGAGTTGCAAGAGCTATGAAAGAAGTAGGTTGTAAATCAGGTGGGGAGCTATAAAACTTCAAAAGTTTGGAGAAGGTCACTGTGTTCTGAGTATGGTGGTTATAAGGAGTTATTGTGAGGAGTTACACAATACTTTGGGTGCATTGTTATACTATCTTCGGGGTGTGTCATTACACAATCTTTGGGGTACAACATTACATCGTTTTAGTGGTGCGTTGTTACACCATTTTTTGGGTACGTTGCTATATATTCAATGTTCAGGATGTGCACTGTTCCATCAAGTGCTACATTATTTTGCAATGTACGCCGATATGCCTCAACATAAGTTATGATTATGTAAGATGTTTCATTACAACAAGCAGGGGGCAACGAATGGTGGTCAATGGTGGTCAGTAACTGCAAGAGCTAGTGGTGTTCACTGAACCTTTGGTGTGAACATTGGACTTCAACTCCTTCTCCTTGCGACACGCTCCAAGCTTAGGTCTTATTCCCACTTCATGAAGTGGACATGACTTTATTTATATACTTTAGGAGATGTCTCTCTACAAATAAAGAAGAAATTCATATCACTCAATCAAACAATCATGAGAGATTCGCTCAATCAGCCCACATTTTATAAACATTTGAGTGTCTTAAGGATGTTGAAATTGAGTAATCTTAAGCTCTTTGAATTCATCTCATTCAGATGCTCGATTCAAATATAAGCTTGTCAGATTTGAATCCATTTGACCTTCCTCAATTAGCCATCAAAAGCTTTCAAAAGTGGCTTAACGACTTGCTCCAAACTTGATTTCACATAAATTGGATCAATTTTGGTGACATCATGTTCACTAGTCAAACCGGTCAGTTTGATAGTAGGCTTGCTAAAACCAAAGTTTTGGATGATTTTTCATTTGGGCTTCAATTTTTCTCACTAAAAAAAAATGTTTTGGAAATTCATATTAACCATATCTAGATTTGTGCTAAATAATATATTTTGTTCACGATATATCACCTCTTATAAGAAGAAAATATAAGAGCATTTACATACATAGTGCACAATTCTTCCTTATTAATTTATTTTTAATTTTTAAAATAAAAAAATAAACAGATTATTAAATATTCAGATACGTTACCATCCCACCATTAAACTTCATTTAAGGCTTTTAGTGACTCCAACGACCAGCGCTCCACTAATCCTTCAAGTACGAATTCATGACCTGAAAATATGTCAACGCGCCGGACGCCATCTGGTCAATGCGAAGATATCTTGATTAATTAATATTAAGGAAAATTTACATACATTTCACTCATATTTTATGTATTTACATATCTAACATCCAAACTTTAACTCTTACACATGCATCCTACTTTTATATATATATGAAAAGTTTGGGTGACGTAAATGTAAGAAGCTAAAATTTAGGTGTTAGATATATAATAAATAACAATTGCATGGTATGTATGTAAATTTCTCTAATATTTTTTTATTTAATATTATTTTGAAGGGAGATTAATTGGGAAGTATAGCTCATTGTTTTAATTTTAAATAATTCATATATAGTTTGAAAATATGAGAGTCAACTCCAAGCAAAATAATTTAATATATAAAATAAAAGACAAAATTACATATAGATAATTCTCTTACATATCCATCCAGCACATAAGTGTATGATAAATGGTACAAGATAAAATAATTTATGTAAGAAAATAAATGTAATATTTTTAATATGTAATTTACTATATTACTCATTTATTAATTACTATTCATAATATATGTGTTTCTAACATTCATATATTCACCATAATAAACACTACATTTTATTGAATTTTTTTTGGAGCAAAATGTAAAATTAGAATATATATATATATATATATATATATAATATATATAGCAAAAATGTAATTATATTGAATAAGAGATAAATTGGATAAGAATACCCAACCAAATTATGGTCGGGATGAGATTTGAAACTCTTAAATGTGCCATTGAGACAAGGTC